CAGATAATCAGTGTTATTCATTCACCTGTCAGTGCTCACAATGTTATGGCTGATCAGTGTAAGATCAAAATTACATTGAATGCAACAATAATAAGAAAACAGAAAATATAAATAAATTATTCTGGACACCTTTATACTTAACGTACTATTAAAAAACATGTAACACATAGGATCATAATACAAGAGCATATACAAAAACATTGAAATGATAGGCATTGGTTGTAATATGGACTATATTTTTCTGCTTCATTTAAATTGTATAGTGGCAAATTTATAATGTTTTAAAATTCCAGCAAGCAAAGGTGATAAAATTGTAGCTTTTTGGCAGTGTTGGTGCTGAGAGGCAACATGTGATTGTGCATTTTTGGATGCTGTTGGTGATTGAGTGTAGAAAACATAGATTTAAAGGCGTGTCGAATGCTGCTGGTTTGTGCTTCCCTGAGAGATCATTAGACAATGTTTGTTTTTGAGTCTGGCGTTTTAAAATAATTCTGTTTCCAATTTTTGGTTGGCCAGTATTCCCTCTGCCATTTAACAAATTCAACTTGTGTAACATTTACATTGTAAAGTTGTGGAAATGGAAACTGGCTGAACATGACAGGAAACTCTGACTCCTGAAAGAAATTATTGTAGGAGGTGTAAACGACATCGAAGCTGTTCCAAGCCTCTCTGTGTTCGGATGCGTCTTAGAGACTGAGCTTGTTATTTTCATAAGGCCTGTGTCGAGCTGCAGTGTTGTAAATGCATGTAGTTCATGTTTTATAGGCCAGCTGTAGTAGAATCTGTAGATTTTTCTCCCAGCCTGTTTTCATTTCATTTCTAAGCTCTGCCTTCCTGAAAATGTACCTGCAGCTCTCATAACATTATTACTTGAATGTTTCACCATATTGAAATCATGATTTGCATACACAATCTTACAGTACTGATCATATTTTGACCAAGTGTCTGGCAGCTCTGTTATTCTGTTCTCAACATTGGTTCAATTATACAAGATGCAGAGTGCAAAGAGAAGATTTAATTATGATTATTACTACAAATATATTTTAAATAAAACATTCAAGGGAAAGAACATGTTGGAAAGACAACCACATTTTAAAGATGGTTAAAAGATAAAGACACATATATAGTCTCATTTTAAAGGTTCAGTGTGTAACATTTATGAGGATCTGTTGTCAAAATGGAATATGATATTCACAGGTATGCTGTGGTTTCACAGCCACCATAGTTGAGTTGCAATCTGATCATATTCTACACACCGGTCCGTTTAGCTAGATAGATAGCTAGCTAATGTTAGAAAAACACTAGGTAACAAGCTAGCCAATCTACATCAATATGGCTAGTTATTGGCTAGCTAACAATTTATGTATTTTTCAGTTTTGATAACATTGGATAACCTTAAAATGTGACACTATATATGTCACTTTTATCTTTTAACCATCTTGTGTGATTGTCTCTTCAACATAGCACATAGCATATCTAAGTACAGGAAAGGAGGAAGTTGACAGGTTACAAAAGGGGCGGGACTTAGGAAGTGGCCTTTCCAGTTTTAGTCATTTTTTAGCAGCCAGCAGCTCTACAAATGTAATATCCTTGGTCTACCATGCAAAAGTTTTACTCATACATGTCTTTTTCTGCATGTAATACCAGTGTGCCACACAACAAAAAACTTTGGATGCATGATTTCTTGTTTTCATGAAATGTTTTAAATGCAGTTTGAAGAGTACTGCAGTATTTTATCTGTCACTGTGCTGTAATGAAGATGAATTATTCATTTCCTGCTCTCTGCTGAAAATGACATGAAGTGATCCAGCCTGGCCCCAGAGCACCTCAACAGGAAGACATCACAGTCCAACAAACAATTACACACAACACCAAATCTTAATGTTACAGTGCCCTTTTACTCAAAGACACTAAAAGTCAACTTGACAGTGAAGCTGACGTCAGAGTGTGCTAATGCTCACGTATTTATCATTGTTATCAGTGGTCATTACATGGCTAGACATCTCAGCAGCCAACAAGCCTGGCAAACCTCTTTATTCATTCATACACACACACATTCCCACACAGAAACTGCAGGTCTCTGTAGAGATGATAGTGAAGCCTGGCCGTAGCTGCAGTGTGTTGGGGCATCTGTTAGGTCTCTGCTCACTGGGAAATGCAACGTGGACCCCATAAAATCAGCATAGACCTAGATCACCATCTGTCAGGCAAACTTATAAAAGGTGTCAGCAGACACATACCCGACCACACAGAGCACAAACACAGCCCTCAGTGCTGGACGTCAGAATCATTCATTCAGTGGCAACAAAAGTGATAGATGAATTTGTCACACATGCTTTATCCCTCCTCGTCTTCCGCTTCTCTCTTTCTATCTTTGTCACGGTCTGTTTCTGGCACTCATTCATTCTCTCTCTCACACACAC